AAGCAAAAATGTGTGTCGGAATGGGGTTCTGTGCACATTTTCAAGTTAGCACGTCTCTTAGCATCTTCCGTGCTGAAGCAAAAATGTGTGTCGGAATGGGGTTCTGTGCACATTTTCAAGTTAGCACGTCTCTTAGCATCTTCCGTGCTGAAGCAAAAATGTGGTTCGGAATGGGGTTCTGTGCACATTTTCAAGTTAGCACGTCTCTTAGCATCTTCCGTGCTGAAGCAAAAATGTGTGTCGGAATGGGGTTCTGTGCACATTTGCAAGTTAACACGTCTCTTAGCATCTTCCGTGCTGAAGCAAAAATGTGTGTCGGAATGGGGTTCTGTGCACATTTTCAAGTTAGCACGTCTCTTAGAATCTTCCGTGCTGAAGCAAAAATGTGTGTCGGAATGGGGTTCTGTGCACATTTTCAAGTTAGCACGTCGCTTAGCATCTTCCGTGCTGAAGCAAAAATGTGTGTCGGAATGGGGTTTTGTGCACATTTTCAAGTTAGCACGTCTCTTAGCATCTTCCGTGCTGAAGCAAAAATGTGTGTCGGAATGGGGTTCTGTGCACAATTTCAAGTTAGCACGTCTCTTCGCATCTTCCGTGCTGAAGCAAAAATGTGTGTCGGAATGGGGTTCTGTGCACATTTTCAAGTTAGCACGTCTCTTAGCATCTTCCGTGCTTAAGCAAAAATGTGTGTCGGAATGGGGTTCTGTGCACATTTTCAAGTTAGCACGGTTCTTAGCATCTTCCGTGCTGAAGCAAAAATGTGTGTCGGAATGGGGTTCTGTGCACATTTTCAAGTTAGCACGTCTCTTAGCATCTTCCGTGCTGAAGCAAAAATGTGTGTCGGATCTTAGGAGCAATTGCCGTAACGGGAACCGGTGGGCCGTAACAGAGCAGCGTAACCGGAACCAGGCCCAGAACCTGTAACAGATACCGGGCGTTCCCGTAACAGGCCGGTGCGAAGGCCCCGGTAACAGGAACCAGACGCATGCATGCAGTGGTAGCCTGCCTTCCGCTGGAGACAAAGCAACCCCTCCCATCTCGAGGCGAGGCGGGGGGGGTTGCCATGAGCCGGTTTTCTTTCGTTTCGGTCGCTCGAAGAAGTCGTCCACCGCGCGTTTCCGCTGGACCTCTAACCAAGGAGACACTTGCCTAATGTTCGCTTAGCCTCAAGCCGGACGGAATTCCAGTATTTGTGCTGCTTCGTTTTCTAGATTCTGCTGTGGCCGCGCCGAAGATTCTGCGGTAGTCCGTGCTGCCACTGAATTTAAAATCCAGCAAGGCCCCTGATGCATGGCATAAACTGTAACAGCGACTTCCAATAATGCAAACGTGAAAATCAGTAGATGCTTTGTTCTGCTCACGTCTGAGCCATGCGCGTAAACCTTAAAACGCACAACCCAGGACCCCCTAAACCTCGAACCCTGAACTCCGAAGCCGTAAACCCTTCGACCTCCAGACCCATTCAAAGCTCGACGCTCATGAGACTCTTGTTGCCTCTCCTGCCTCTGCCGTTGCTCGCCGCTGGCAGCGAAGTGGCGGACATCGCAGTGATTTCGGTTCCTGAGGACGCTATACCGGGCTGAGGCTTTCAGGTTCAGGGGAAAGCTGCCCTTAAGGCCGTTCCAGTGGGATTTGCGATAGCTGTCGGGTCTTCACGGAATGGCTGTAGAGGAGCTTTTCCTGTTTTTCCCTTTTGGAACATAAGCAATGTTTTCCCATCACACAACACGTCACTATCGTCGCAAGGCTCCTTGAACTTAATGCGGCCCCAAATTTCTACCGGAAGCCGTTGACCGGAAACCCTGAGTCCGAAACCTTGAACCCTGAACTTGAGAAAGCTCACCGGATTTTAAACTTACGATCCAGGAGTAACAGGTTTTGCAGTCGTGGCAGGCATTGCGATCACAGTTTTTCACGTTGATGGGTGAAGCCTAAACCCAAAGCCTAGGCCCTGAATCCTACACCCGGAAGCCCCAGAACGGCCCGAGTTCGCAGGACAGCGTGGATGAAATCTTGGAGCTTCTGCAGCTTGCCGGAGGGGGTTTAAGTTTAGGGTCTAGGGTTTTGGGTTTGGGACGTTTGGGGCTTGGGGTGTGGGCTTTAGGGGTGAGGGTTGGGCGTGTTCTCAGATTTCCGGGAGCTGGGGTCGAACGTTAACGCAATTGACGTGCTTTAGGGGTTGTGGTGTGCTCACGGGTGGGCTCAAGGAGTCACAGTGCCTACAACTTTCCATTCACGGGTCACACAGCTCGGGGAGTCTCTTGGTTGTATTTGGGTTTTCTCTGTACGGTTTAGGGTAGCACGTGCACGTCATTGCATTAAGAAGTAGCCTCACTGTCTTTCCGCAGGATCCCTGTGCTACTACCGGTTTGTGCTTACTGCACGGTTGAGGACTTCACCCGTGCTCTACCCTGACTTCGGGTTCCTGGATTCTCTCATTTGAAGGTTTGGGGTTTTCGGAGTTTCAGAAAGATAGGAAACCATATGGGGTTCTCCAAACAGGATCCATTTAGGGTACCGTATCAGGCTCCCCTGTTCTCGGAATCTCCCGTGTAGCGTGTAGCACAGCCAGGAACCAGCCGACGTGCGATTCCATGTTACTAAGCTACCGCCAGCAAGCACTAATACTCGGCTGTGGTGCTGTCCGGCCTTGTGTTCGACGGGCGAGTACCAAGGCTCTTGCCATCCAGCTGGGGCGACTTCTTCTGCGGAGGACTGACCGCAGGCAGTGTTTCAGCAATTCAGCTTGGCAGCAGCAGCCGAGAGAGAACAAACCGCAAGTTCGGCTCCTGATAGCTTCCCTCGAACGTCCTTTCGAGAGCATGGCGTCTGAGTGGTTACATGTTGGCGACCAAGCACTCTCCGCCAGCGACCTGAACCGATGCCAGAGCAGAGAAGGCATGCAGGAGTACGCAAAAGGGTGGCTGCAGCGCCAAGCCATGCAGGGAAAGCCGGTGGTTAAGTCTACAGCTGCCGGGGCGGTGACCTGCTACATCTACTGCAGAATGCACGCCAACTGCAAACAGGTCCTTGCATTGACCAAAATCCCTTGGACATAGTTCTTAGTGAAACCTGCCCAAGCGGATGCAATAGGGTCGAGTTTTCTTCCGCCAGGTGACCCGGCTGAACGTGGACCATGGCAATGGCAATCATGGTCTGCAGATTCATGTGAAAGGAGAACACGAGAACAATCCCCGACTCATCAGGGGACTGCCCGTAGGGCAAGTCCTGGAGGCGCGGCGCAGGGCCCATCAGCCCCCCATGCAGGCCCTCGCTGACATCCTGGCCGATCCCCCTGCTGCTGCTGGTGACGGTCAGGCGGCGGCGCCCCTCTACGGTGTCCTGCGGAATGTTCGTCGAGGATTCCTGCGAAGAAATGTCGATCCTGCTCGGCGCGGCAACACCAATGCGGAAGTTGGATGGCGGGAGTGGCTCCACGAAGCAGCCGGTCGTCCGGTCCAGGACGTGCTTCAGTTCCAGGTGCACGTTGTCGGACAACAAGATCGTGCTCCTTTGTGCGTCCTCACAGCAGATGCTTTTCTTCAGGCTGCCAAGCTCGTTCTCCGCGACCATTCCTTCGCAGATGCCTACGGCGTCTGCGACGCAAGCTTCAAGATCAACAAAGCCAATTGGGGGCTCTTCATGCTGGGACTGAGCGCGAAACACTACACGGATCGCCAAGTTTGGTCTTCCCAACTGCTTCCTCTGGGTTTCGCGTGGGTTCCGAAAGAAGATGGCCACGGCTTCAAGTCGGTGTTGCAGCGCCTCAAGGAGTGGTACGGTGCCCGAGATGTCGACCTCAACTTCGCGATGCAAGAGGTGTCTCGCGTGCTGTGCGGGGTTAGGGACTCCAAGGGTCGACAGAATGGACAACATCAAAATCTCGGGTTGCCTTATAACACCATGTCCCACTTGGGGGTGCTTGCACATGTAGTGCCGACGGTTCACTTGGGGGTGCTTCGCGCTTGTAGTGCCGACGGTTCTAGACGGGGTTCCGCGACTGTGTGTTCCGTGACTTCGTGTCTGCAGCTCTCTTGCCCTGGTTTAGGTTCATTTCGACGACTCTGACTCGGGTCGCTTGGCCGTGGCAGCTGTTTTCCCACAGGTGATGTTCAAAAGATGCTTACGCCACCAACTTCAAGCAGTTCGCCGTCGCAGCGGAGACCTGAAGAAGTTCGTGGCTAGCATGGTGGCTTTGACCGCGCACACTGTGAATCGTTATCTCTTCGACCTTCTTTGGCAGTCTGTGCTGACGCGGCTGGCGTCTGCGGATGCGGAGTGGGAGGCTTACGTGAAGTCCCACGTTCTTGTGCGAACCGACGACAATCTGTGGAGTGCCGAGTGGCACTGCGTGCCACGGCTGACCTCTTGGAAACCCGCCGAGCGCGGAGAGCATCCCACATCGCGACCCGGCTTCACCACGGCCACCCTGGGTCAGTCTGTGGAGAGTTGGTGGAGTGCCATCAAAAGGGTTCTTCCTGTCAACGTGCAGTCGATGAACTTGGTCAACGCCACGGCGAGCCTGGAGGGAGCAGTGCGTGCGACTTGGTTGGGCAAAGGTTGGGTCCAGGACGGTTCCGTACCTGCCAGCAACGATCGCTTCCAGACCGTCCCAGGGTCATTCAGCACCAAGTTGTTCACAGAAGGCTCTGTTGTCAGATGCGTTTTCAAGGACGGGGAACTGCAAAGGATCCCCCCTGTGCCGGCGTTCATCAAGCACCGGTCCTATCTCCGCAAGGATTTTCCAATCTTGGCTTTCGACAACGTCTGCAGAGCCTACCTGGTACCAGGTGCCGAGCCGGACCTGCCCCTGGAGCCAGCCATGTTCGAGGCCATGCTCGGCCTCATCCGTGCGCAGTCCGTGGGCGATGCTCAGGAAGCCCTGAAGGCTTTGGGCTGCTGGCTCACCGCGGAGAACCGGGTGAGCATCGCTGCGTATCGGTACACCTTCCAGCAGCTGAGCGTGGTGACCGTGCTCCGCAACGATGACTTCGCGCCTGGGTCCTACAGATGCACCTGCACCTGCCACGCAAGAGACGCCCAGTGTGTTCATGAGGGCTTTTGCCGAGTGCTCGACGGGGACCCTGCGTTGCCCACCAACGACTTGCGCTGCTTCACGAAGAAGAAGACAGTCGTGCCATTGCTTCCTACCACCAGACCGGGTCCCATGGCGCGCATGCCTTCTGCTTCAGCTTGGGTGACGCGGGACTCCGTGGAGGCTGCTGTGCGTCAAAACGCTCGTGGCCGTGCTGCCGCTTCGGTCTTGGACACGCCTCCGAAAAACCCGGGGAGCAAAGGTGCTGGCCGTAGAGCTAGCAGGACCAGCATTGTGGGGAACGCGGAGAGCAACGAGGACCGCGAGGCCATCTTGTGCAAGATCGCGAAGTCTTTGCAGGAGCGCAAGTTCGCGGACATGCGTTCCGCCCTGGTGGCCCTGGAGACCTTGGAGGCGGGAATTTTTTTGAATATAGGTTCGTTCTTTGTGGCTTTGTCGGTGTGCCAGGGGTCTGGTGTCCGTCTCTCGGTCTAAATGTTGCCTTTGCCTCCCGGTCGTGACCTTACCAGCAGCTGCAACAACAGCAAGCACGGCCACGAAACCCAGCCGCAGCAACAACAACGGCAAGGCCACGAAATCCAGGCCCGGCAACCCCCCCCCTCTCGACACGAGAAGGGGGGGGTTGCCGTGAGCCGTCCGCGTGCCACAAAAGAGACGAACTACCACAACAGTAGGAAAGCCAGGACTAGCAACCCAGCCCGGCAACCCCCCCCTTCTCGACGCGAGAAGGGGGGGGTTGCCGTCAGCACGAGAATACCACAGTCTCAACAACAGGAAATCCAGGACTAGCAACCCGCCGGTTCTCGATGCGAAGGGGGGGGTTGCCGCGGGCTGCCATTTCCGGAGTTGTGTTGCGGTCCCTTTTGCTTAACCGCTGCCGATAAACCTAGTCCTACGGCTCCGGTGCCACTGCTCCATGCCTGGCTGTTCTTGCTTTCTGCTGGGAGCAGGTTTCGGCCGACGACCTCAAGCGCCACAACCTGGGCAAGCTTGTGAAGCAAGTCGCCGAAAATACGGAGCTCTGCGTCCTCTTGCGCATGAAAGCCCAGCGCATCAAGACGGTGTGGGTGCATTGTGTTCGGGAAGGTCGCTCCTGAGTGGGCTGCTCCGGGGGAACGATTCGGAAGGACTGTCGTCCTGTGCAGCACAGTGCGCTTGAATTCGTAGCCTGCCAAATTTTGCAGCGGGATCCGTGTCCAGCCGTGCCCGTCGCTTTGCGCGCTTCGTGTGTTGCTAGGCCTTTCTGCTGGCGGACATGTACAGACACCGGGAGGATTACGAATCCGATGCCAGTGACACGCGCAGTTCCAGCACTTTCGGCGCTGTTTACCGCAAAATGCCCTTTACTACAACAGCCGAAGATGCTGAGCAGCGCATCCCACTGCGAAAGCAGGCCCAGAGTAGAAGAACTGTTTGTGTCAACTGTTTTCGGGTTTTCGGGACGGTCGCTCCGGAGTAGCTGCTGCGCCCGGGAACGATTTGGGAGGACTCTTGTCCTGTACAGTACACTGGCCTCGCAGAGGCCGTAAATGTGTCCAGCCCAGCCCGTCGCTTTTTCTTGCGCACAGGCTAGCCCGCGATGTCTGGTTGCGCTCCGTGTGCTACTGAACTGAGCCTTTCTGCTGGCGGACATGTTGCACAGGCACCATTGCGAGTGCGGCTCCCTTGGAAATCCAGACCGATGCCGAAGCCGGTCAAAAAGAAGTGCTCCTGTATTTGAGAAGTGGCTCCCTTTGCCGCACGTGAGGAAGCTAGACTGCAAGTGTTTCATGCTAGACTGCAAGTGTTTCATGCAGCAAGTCTTGCGTTGCTGCAGCCGGCTCTGCTGCAGCAAGGCTCTTCGTGTGTCGCATCCGCCAAATGCCACTACCATTACACGGTGACAGCGAGCGGGGCTCTGAAGCTGCGGAGTGCGGCAGCGGCACAATCAGCAGCCTCAGCGGCAGCCTGCGTCAGCCAGCCACGCCCTTCACAGGCGAATGGCCCAGTCCTTTCGGTTGGGACCGACGTTCCAGATCCTCCGCGGCCAGCGGCAGATCCTGCAGCAGATCCTGCTCTGGGACCGTGTTGGACGAGGACCAAGAGGATGATGTGGACATGCCGGGATCGCCTCCGGCGCCTGTTGCGCCTGCCGGCGAAGAGGCCGAGATGGCAGACACGCGCGCTCGATGCACTTACACTTACACCTGCACTTTTGGATGGTGTGCCCTCCAACACATGTCTCCGCAGCAGATGTGGGATCGTGTCGGGATTCGGGGCGTCTTGGATGCTGCCTGGGATGCCTTCGGCGCGCTTCAATTGTCCCTGCGTTACCGAGGCTTCGCGTGCTTTCTGCAGGGTCATGTGCCAGAACCGCCTGGGGGCCATGCGGGCCAGACCATCCTTCTCCAGGTCACGGTGCAGGAGTGCTTGCAAGCGCAGCTGCTCATCCACTACAGTTGCGCATGGAGTCTTCGAGGTGCACGGGGCTTGACCCCTGTTCAGATCTGGGATGGCTTGCGGATTGCCGGTCCTCTGCAGAGTGTGGCGAGTCCCCGCGGGCTCCTGAGTTTCAACGCGCCAGTGCACACCGACGTTTGCCTGAACCGTGCCACTCGACATCCGGGAGCATCCTGAAACAGGAGGCTTTGCTGTGAAAGTCCAGCTCCTTTAATTCAGGCTTTTACCTGGCGAACCACGCTGTTGCAGTACAGTACTTTGGTCTTCTGTCGCTTTGTTTGCCAATTTTTGTCTCCCGGGTGGTTGTGCCGGCGGTGCTCTGCCTCCAGGGGACGAGCATGTGACGACCATGGCTTCGATGCAACGTGTTTGAGATGCACCGCCGTACACAGGCACCTCTAGCAGACCAGCCTGGCCAGCGGCACGTACCGAGACTAGCGCCGACGCAATGTTTCAAAATGCCGGGAGTGTGTGCCTGTGCTCCCACACAGCTTCTCCAATCAGCAGCGACACAGTGACCTGCTATGTTCTTGCGTGTCGTGCTCCTCTGTTCTGAGTCACTGGCAGTTTTCCGGCGTGACTTCCCGATTGTGAAGGAAGCGTGAAGAATGGAGCGTGGAGCTTCGGAGATCGCAGGCAGACCGCGGAGGCGGCAAAACCTCCAATGACTTGTGGGTCTCTGGGCTGCTGTGTTGGGTCTCGAGAGATGCTGGGTTTAGAGGGGAGGGCTGCTGTGTTGGGTCTCGAGAGATGCTGGGTTTAGAGGGGAGGGCCATCATCGCTGGAGTTTAAACCCTCGCATCCCAGGTCCCCGCAACCCCAAAGTACACCAAGGCCCGAAACCTGGAGCCAGAGCTGGAGTGTAGAACAGGGGCGACAAAAATCAAGCATTCGTCCAACCAACAAACTTGAACCCCAATTCTCAAAATCGAAGAGCCAAAAGCTTTTAAACTATGCGGACAGCCTCAAAACCACAACGCGAGGCCTGGCCCGACGGTGCCCGGGAAGCGGCTTGCGCGCATCTGCTGGATGTTGTGGTCCGGGATTGCACGTTCAGGGGTGGCTACCAGAGGGTGGCTCTCGGACAACTAGAGTTGCAAGCGACAGGAGCCGACTTGGAAGTCCGCAAATAATTAAGCATGAATCTCCAACTAGGCCCTAAAATCCTAGAGCCTTCTGTAGAGATTGGAGTCCTGGAGCTATCGGGTAGACCGAGTCGATGCTGGTTGCTTCGTTGGTTTTAAGCGATCCGACGGCCACGATTCCTTCGAAGAGGCTCGTAGTTCGGTGTTTTGGCTTGTGGCAACTTCTACAGCATGCCCCTCCGGATGTTTGTCTGCAACGTGCAGCTACCTTGAACCCTAAACCCTGCTAACTCAATAATCTTTGCTCAAAGCCACAACATACTCAATGCCACAATGTACTGAAAGCCACAAGCACCTTTCACCCTGCTATCTGAAGACCCTAGGCCTTAAGCACTAAGCCAAAAGATTTCAAGCCCTAGAGCCTTAAAACCCTTAAAACCCAACGCCTAAAACTTCCGGCCACGCAAGGCCAGGCTTCATTGAAACTCCGGCAGAACCCTGCCATTGGCGCCGCCGCTCTTGCTGGAAGAGGCTCGACCCTACGGACAAAACCCAACCCACGTACAACGAGGTCCGAAAATTCATTATGCAATGCTTTTCTCGCTTGCTCTGAGACTCCAGGTCTGAGGCTCAGATTCCAAGCATATCACACAAACGTTCAATCACAAGACACGCTTTAACTCCCAATCTGTCCGATCGTGACCGAGTTGAAGAAGAGATCGCTGAAGTCTACAGTGTTTATGCTCGGTAATCATTATTCGTATCATTACTACTACTACGACTACGACATACTACTGCGTCCTCCCACGTATTCCTACTTAGTCCGAATACGTACGACTACGTACTACGACATACTGCTGCGTACGACTATCCGTGCTACCACGGACGACTACGTACTGCTACGTACTGCTCCGTACTGCTGCGTACTGCTTCTGCTACTACTCCTACTCCTGCTGCTATGACTACTATTGCTACTACTACTACTACTACTACTACTACTACTACTACTACTACCACTACTACAACTACTACTACTACGACGACGACTACGCCTACTATTGGACGACGGCGACTACGACGACGACGACTACGACGACGACTACTACTACCACCAGTACACCACGACCAATACCACTACGACGTTCCGACCCCGCAACACTTTGTCGAGCAACTCTCCCAGTTCAAGTCGCCCGGCACACAAATCTTCGTGCGAGCGCAATGCCGCCGCCTCTTTATTGGAAGGTGCTTTCCAAAGTGAGCCTGCAGATGGATCTGTTGGTGCGACTGCTTCTCGTGCGCGCTCTTCTGGACCTGCAGCAGCCTTTGCCGAAAGAGCTGGCTAGCGCACCGTGCTGCCTCGAAGTGCAAGGGCCCGGAGTGACGGCTGCGCCAGACTGGACCTGCGAGCGTCTGGTGCGCCACCTGGGGGCTTCTTTCGTGTGCTTGGCCACCGATCCGATCTGCGGGGATATTGACGCCGTGGTTGCTGCAGACCACGAGCAAGCATTCGAGAACTTATACATGTTGTCCCTCCTCAGCTCAAGCGCGGCCGTGGGGGTTCTGCGGAGAGCCGGTGCCGCTTCAGTGAAAGGGGCTTTGAACAAGCTTCACGCTGTCAGACGCGAATACCACGACCACCCCGCCAACCTCGTGGACGATAGCTTTCTGGCCGGGCGGGTGCTGAAAGGTCGCTTGGGGAAGCTGACTGCGTCAAAGGCCTGGCAAGTATTGGAGAAGATTTTGGGAGAGGCACCATCGAGACCAAAGGTCAAAAACGGGGCTCGGTGGAAGTCGAAGTATTCCATCGTGCGCACAATTGCCAAACTCCCGCATCTCGGGCCATATACCACGGAGCGCCTCTGGTTTCATTTCAAGAAAGCCTTGCCCACCTACCCACGAGAGCAAGATTCTTCGTACGCAGAGACTGGTCCGGGGACCCGGAAAGCGCTCAATGTCCTGAACAGCTCCCGCAAAAAGCTGGAGCTGACAGGTTAGACTCCGACACGGCTCTGCAGTTCAACGAGCTGCTCCTGCGTCTGACTGCTGCGGTTCAGAGATCGGAGGTCTTGAAGGTCAAGCCCAAGGATTCTTTGCACTTGAGAAGAGTTAAAGAGCGAGTGCGACAGCAATTGCTGGATCTAGAGGGCCGGGCACACGCCCTCTGCGAGTACACCAAAGCGCTGCGGTGCCTGGTCGTCTGAAAACAAAGCGTGCAGATCTCCCGCAGCAGTTCGAAGGCTGCTACCAGGACTAGACTACGACGACTACTTCTGCGACTACTACGACTACTTCGACGCTCCCTGTGCCCACCGCGACTGCTAGCACGACTGCGACAAAGACTACTACTGCGACTGCTACGACGACTAACGCCACTACAACTCCTACCACTCCTGCCCCGCCCACGACTACTACTAACATTACTACTACTACTACTACTACTACTACTACTACTACTACTACTGCTACTACTACTACTACTACTATTACTACTACTACTAGTAACTACGACGACGACGACTACTACTACAACTGCCACTATCTGCCGTAGCTGCCGCAGGATTTGACACGCACTG